GAAAACATTTTTATTTCATTAGGAATCTATGAAATAAGCAATTAGATTAACTCTTTCCAAATGACTTGGAACTAAAAATAATTCATATTGAGAATAATGTGAAGTTTCCATTCTCAGAGAGAGGCAGTATATCATACATAGTTTCTGCATCAAAATTGTTCAGTTCTGCTTCATAGCTCCTGCACACAAATTGTTCACAAGGTGACTCTCTGATCACAAACTTAAAAAATCAAAATAGTTTTATATATCTTGAAAGGTTATATTTCCTTTGAAATGTTTAAGCCGAACTTGTTGGATTTCCTCCCCATAATAGCATTCAGTCAGTGAAGCTAAAATAAATTATTTATTTTAGATACTGACTAACCAGAATTTCTATTACAACATGTGTTTCTTACAACAAATCACCATACAGCAAATAGTGAGAGTAGTTAGTGATTCTGACTTAGAGGCCTAAAAATGTGGTAGAAAAACTTCTAAGACGGAAAATGTACAAGTTAAATGGAGGCAAGAGGTAAGAGTCACAGTTGTATTTTCATAGAAATGAATGTCTGTGAGAACATTTCAAATATTGGTACTGAAGTGAGCATAATAAATAAAGAGCTGCTGCATGCATTTTTGACTGATGTAGTGTTTGCTCATTTCAAGTAGTTAAAAATTACAATCTGAGGCCCTCCCTGGTGGCACAAAGGGCTGGGACACGGCACTGCAAGCTGGCCATAGCTGCTTCAGTGTAATGAGTTCCATCATGGCACAGCAGACCTCTTCTGTCTCACCCACTGCTCCCCTCAGCAGTGTACTTTGTCGATCTGCCTGTCCTGCTTCCCACTCTGTCTCTGGTGAATCCTCTCACCCACAACACCTCTGGCCTGTACCCCAGTTCTGTATGCATAAATAAATATAAAAAAATAAAACCAAAACTACAATCTGAAAAAGCATATGTGGGCACACACACAAATACAAATATAAAATTTGCTTTTTATATTCTTTCCTTTTAAAACAAGTAGAAATTACATCAATATCTATTCTAATCAGTTATTTTGGGGAGTGGCCGAGAATAAGACTACAATATAAAATGTATTAACTTCATTTACATAGAAGTAGTGATGGCAAAGAGAAAGACACTTTCACAAAGCAAAGAGAACTACTTACCAACTACTGTAAGCAATAATAAACAAGTATTGCAAAATCAGATATTTTAAATATATAATCCAACAAAATCAAGTAATTGTATGCACTGAAAAATACGTCTAGACAATTAACAAAAGCTTTACAAAAAGACATAAGAGATGTCTCACACCAGAAATCTAAACTAGTCATAAATTAGTGATTTTTATTGTCAGAAAAAAAGGATGTATTCTCTCATTGTGTGATAACAATATATTTAATATTTTTAGCATGAAGATGTTATGTAGAGATAAATTCATAACTGAACTATTTTATACCCAATGACATCTCTAATATTTTTCCCTTTGACTACAGCACTATAAGACATTTTCATAGAACTTAGAGTCAGATTGAAACTTAGAAGTCATTTATTTTAATCAATTTTTTAATACTTATATAAAGTTTTTTTTATGACTATGAAGTTAATAAAAATTTATTTTTATTAACTTCATAGCAAACCTTTTAAAAGAGAAAAACTCAAGATATAAAAAAGAATCTAGCACAATTACAAAAAGAACTGGGAAAAATATTGCATATTCTACTATGTATTCATGTAAAACAATATCACAAATACTGTATTATTAAAATTCTTCACAAACATAATTTTATGACTACATAATATGACACTGTTTGGATATACTACACTCTCTTATTGTATAAGGTACTCTTTATGTGTGTGTATAGATACATATAATAGAGTATATAAATGTGATTTCATCTACTCATTTTATTATTTCTTTTGAATTCCCTCTTGAACCTAGATTATTTCTTTTGAATTCCCTCTTGAACCTAGATGTCCTGGCAATAAACCAAATCAGTAAAGCAAATGCAAACATAAAGATATAAATGGAAAAATAACAAAACAAACTAGATAAAACAGAATGAGACACCATTTTCCATTGTTTAGATTTACAACTAGAAGTATACTTGATTATGGAAAATGTCAGCTCCACTGTAATTATCAGTAGGCAACAATTTAAAAGGCACTAGGTAGATTCTATGATAAAATAAAACTACTATTCAAAGAATTAAAGCATGGTAAATGGATTTGGATAGACTTCTAAAGTTATTCAGGAGGGAAATGAAAGGCAAAGGCTTCCATCAATTTCCACAAAGTCAAGTCAAGCATCCCAGAGACAACACTGGCTTCCTTTAGATAGGGTGTTTACCTCACGAAAAAAAGTGCATCCCCTACTTATAATGGGAGAAATGAATCAACATGTCAGAAAGGCAGGAGCTTCCTGTCTACACGCATGCTGGTTGCTATGCCAAAAGTCTCAATTGAGAATACTGGGGGAAAAAAATAACAACTTTTGAGTTTGTATGTATTTGAAAATTTAAGATTCTTTTAACTTTTAAATAATACAATTTCAACCTTTTTATTATAAAATTCTAAAGTAATCAATCGTTCATGAATCAGAAATAAACAGTCTCTATACTCAGACTTCTCAGTTTCATTTTGAACATGAGGTTTTACTTCCTCTGATTTTAGAAATTGTGAAGAGCTGTTTTTGGTAGAAGTTTCTTTTAAGGTTTATCATGTATTTCATCACATAATCTGCACATGGTGACACTTTTCTTTCTTTTTCTCCAATTTTGATTTCTTTTACATTTCTCTTTGTTTAATTGGTCTGTCTAGGACTTCCAAAATTATACAGAATAGTAGTGGTGAGAGTGGACATCCTTTCTTTATTCCTGATCTTGGAGGAAAACCTTCAGTTTTCCACCACTAAGTCTGGTGTTAGTTGCGGATTTGTCACATATAGCCTTTATCATGCTGCTGTATCCAAATTTACAAAGATTTTTTTTTTTTATCACATATTTGTCTTGAATCTTGTCAAATATGTTTTCAGTATCCATTGATACTCTTGTTGCTGTGTGGATGAAGTGTGCTATGTTTATTGACTGCGTATGCGGAACCCTTACATCCCTAGCATGAATGACACTTAGCTGGGTGAATGACTTTCTTAGTCCACTGTTGAAGTCAATTTGCTAATGTTTTGTTGTATCTATGTATCAACTATATCATTCTATATTTTTATATTTTTGTGCTAGCCATGTCTGGTTTTGGATCAGGGTAATAATTTGGCCATGTAAAATGGGTTTTGGAGTAGTTACCCCCTGTGACTTTTTGGAAGAGCTTGAGAAGGACTGATTTCATTTAAGACCATAATCTAAAATAAACAATATTAAAGTGTTTCTCACAATATATGTATTAACATTTTAAGTACTATAGCTTCCAATTGTAATAAACAGAGATTCTCCTTCATGCAAGTTTGTTACTTTCACTTTTTTTTCAATAGATGTATGTCAAAGAATATTTCCATACTTGGTACACCTTCATAAGTGTATCATAGCTCAATGGTGCAAGACTCAGAAAAGGGGGCCAGTAAAAGCTGGACGACAGATATGATATACTGTGGGTGACAGCAATTCCATGTTTTCCTCTCCCAAAACATTAGTGCATATGATATACATTGGATCACAAATAATACTAATTATATAAATAACATTCCATTGGTTGTATTATTAATAAAGAAAAAGCAAACCAATCACAAACTTGTATTTTAATATTAATAATTAGTGATTTACCACACACCCCATATCTGGTAGCATACTTTTTTTGTTGTTACTTCATTACAGAGTTACACATTTCAGAGTTAACTAAAGTTAACCAACATTTTCATGTGAGCTTGGTCAACAATGTGCTATATTTAATAGATTTAATCTTACTGATGAGTGAGAAATAAAACTGTATTTAGATGACTTATTTTCATTTTAAAGTTAATACTATACTTCATATTTCTGGAACTATCCAAGTGACCTATATTATTTGTCCCCCATTTCATTACCCTTCTAAGAGTAAAATGTAATTTTTTAGTAATTGCAATTTAAAAGAAAGAAAAATGCCTTGCAAGTTTTTATTATCCTCATTGTAACTAGAAAAACACACAGTGGTCTCCTAAGTTTTCTTCCACTATCCACAACACTTACCTAACACAGCTTTTACGGTACTTTTAGACAAACATGAGTCATGACAGCAGCTCCTATAGTCAGAAAGCGGTCTCTCATAAAATGGGGAGCAAACTGTTTGAAACAGATCCCCAATATTTAAACAGATAATGTGGCCATATGTACTTTGTAAATCTCTGTGCAAGTGCTCAACATTAATGAAAACATGTATCATATATTAGCTATAGAAGAGTGATGGGACAAGATGCAAGTTTGAAACAAGCATTAGAAGCGAGAAATCAGGTATAGTTTCCACTTACTAAAGGGCCTTCACTTTAGTGATGTATTGTAGAAGTTTATAAATAGAAAATTTCTGTGTACATTCAAAATAAAAAAAAAAATTGGACAGTTTACATGGCCTAAGGAGGATATGGGAACTAAACAATGAGAAAATGTTACTTGCGAAGGTGATACCCATGAGACTTGTATTTTAAGCAAATGATTTAGAAAATTGATGTCTCTAGGTTTTACACAATATGTCTGTTAAACACTAATTTAAAATATAAAATACAAAGAATTTGTGTGGGGTAAAAACAGACCTCCCTACTAGGATGAGTCAGTCAGCCAATAGCACTTTCTCGCACTTCATAAAGAATCTATGCTCTTTTCTATGAAACACCACACACACATACTCACACACACACACACACACAAACACCATAACAGCTTCTATCATCAATGGTATCCAAAAGAACATTTTCAAATATAAGCTACTCCACTATAGAATTTATGGTCAGTTCTGACTGGATTACCTGGGTTACCTACCTTACACACCTTTGCTTCTACTTTTGAAATTTAGTTATATCAGCAATGAGGTGACTTACCGGCCCAAAAGAATTACTGTCGAAACTGTGTCCATGATGATCGCCTTCCACCCAAATGTGACCCCGGGGGACTTTGACATACCGATTTTTGTGCCCAATAGTCCTAGAAACAAGCATCATAATCATTAGAATAAGAATAAAAAGAAGGTCAAATAATTAAAATTCAGGAAGGTCAAAAATGGTGTTATAAAGACTGCCATACATTATTATGTGAAACATAAGTTTATTCCATAACATAACTTAATTTTTAAGTAAGATGTGTTTAGGACTCTATAAAGCTATCCACAATATTTTATGTTTATATTTTGGTAGGTAGGAATTTTGTGCTTAAATAAAATGTATGAACATCAAATATAATAGGTTACTATTTAATTCACAATATACTTTGCTTTTATTAAATTTAATAATCATTAACAAAATGCAATCTTTTTTTCTAAAATATGCTTTCACATGACTATTAAACTCTTGGTTAGCTGTAATTTTCATTTTTAAGTCAAGTTTAACACTTTCACAATCTTAATATTCTAAGACTCAGCAAAATGAAAGAAAATAATTTGGATGCTCTCTTGTCAGGTATCAGTGCTAGCTAAATATCTTTGATAAACACTTTTGGAATTCATAAATCATTTTGAAATGTAAAAGTTTTGAGCAATTATAAAATCTAAAGGTCAGTGATACCCATTTCATATTCATTTTTTAAACTGAAGTAACATTGGTTTACAACACTGCATGTTTTTTTTTTTTAAAGATTTATTTATTTATTCATACATAACTGGGGTACAGGCCAGAGGCTCAGGGGCGGTGAGAGGCTTCACCAGAGACAGAGTGGGGAGCAGAACAGGCAGATCGACGAAGTACACTGCTGAGGGGAGCAGCGGGCGGGTCAGGAGAGGAACACTGCATGTTTTAATAGAACATTCTATATTCTTGAAGCTTACAGGGAAAAGGAATACTGAGAGGCTCTCATACCGTGTTGGTAAAATGATTTAATCTTCTTTCCTCCTTTGTCATTTGGGGAGGATTTTTGTCAAATTTAGGAATAGACTAAAATGTTCATGTCTTTTGGCCTTTGTAACTTGACTTATTGTACTAGTGGAATATATATTTCAAAGAAACAGAAGTACGTACAAATGTTTATTACCAGCAGTTTTTAATATAGACCCCCTTTTTTTTAGAAAAAAAATACACAACTATTTCCCTAAATGTCCAACAACACAGAATTGATTAAATAAGTCATCATGTGAGCTATTAAATAAAAGGGATGGATTTAAAGTAAAATATCATTTCAATCCTTAATAACTAATTCTTTGGGAGACAGGGACTGTTCCCTTCTCTTTTTTTACTCCACAGCATTTGGGAAAATGTCTGCAGCTAAAACAGTCTCACAATAAATGTTGGTCGAGTGATTGAGGAAAAAAAAAAAAAAAACCCATTCCCAAAACTATGGTATTAATATCAAAAAATAAACTTGGCACTGTTTTCTTTTAGCATGGAGTCTCTACCTGGGCATTTTTGTCTGTTAACTATCAAGTTGTACACGTATAGAATACATAAAAATACATAAAAAGAATACATAAAAAGGAAAAACTACACATAAATTGATTCTATAGAAATTGAAACTATTCATTATGTAGAATGTTTTTTAATTTTCAAGATAATTTCAGTGTTGAATTACTTTGCTTTAGTTCAGTAAATCATTCATATTGTGGCCATTAGAAGCTCACAGTAAGTTAATGACTGCTGTTTATTTTTAATTACTACTGGGAAGAAGAGTTTCAGCTTTTCAAAGAAAAGTTAAAACAAGTTGAACATATCTTAACCTCACATATTTTGTAATATAAGTGTTCTCCAATTAAAATCAGTCAATTAGTTCTTGACATCACTACTGCTTCTATCATGAAATTGCTTCTAAGAAGTAATATCCTACATCAAGTGTTAATAAGAAGTAGGCCCTTTTGCTTAATTGCTGGCAAGGCACACTCTCCTAATAACTCCAAACATTTGTTCACCTTATTAAGCTGGCTATTTTGGATACTTAGAAAGAAAACAATTACCCATTTTGTCTCTTCAAATAATCATTCAAGTCAAATTATGAAATAAAACCAACATAAAATCATGAAATGGTAGGTTTTAAGTCTAGCACATTGTTTTGAAGAATGATATAAAATTTAGATTGGGTTTCAATGTCATATAAGCCAAGGACTCAAGATACTTCTCATAGAACATGAGAGTATCATAAAATACTAGTGACAGTTGCACAATTCCTTGCACAGTCTTATCTAAAATATTTACATACACTCTAATCCCATCATTTCCTAGCCCCTTAAATTGCCTTATTTTTCTTTATTGCACCTAACATTTGACAATCACTTATTGATTTATTTGTTCATCACCTATATTTCCCAACTAGAATGTAAACAGGCTTCATCTTTCTTTTTGGCTTACGCATGCACAGAGCTCTAAAAAAATGCTCTAGAGATATGTTAATTGCATGATGAAATGAGTCAATCAATGAAGAATTAAAGATTCTGCCACAAAGACAGAATAATTTATTGAAAAGAGGACAGGGTTCTGAAACAGACTGTTCCAACTTTAATCTTACAGTATTAGTCAGAAAAGCAATTTGCATATGAAACTTAGTTTCTACCTCTATTTACCCATCTATAAAATGGGATGAATAAAGCATACTCTAAGTTGAGGGCCCTCCCTGGTGGCGCAGCGGGTTAAAGCACAGCACTGAGAAGCTAAAGCCACTTCCCCATGAGTTCGATTCCCGCCTGCCCCGGAGGAGACCACATGGCGTGGCAGACCTCTCCTGACCAGCCCGCTGCTCCCCTCAGCAGTGTACTTCGTAGATCTGCCTGTTCTGCTCCCCACTCTGTCACTGGTGAAGCCTCCCAACTCCCCTACACCTCTGACCTGTACCCAGTTCTGTATGAATAAATAAATCTTTAAAAAATTTATAAATGATTTTGTTATAGTTGATATTGTTTTTTAAGTAAAGCTCTCAAGGAAGCTCTGATGTTTAGTAAGAACCCAATAAGTGGTAGCTAGTATTACTGCTATTGTCTTCCTTTTTCTACTATTTTATTTCATTTCATAATTCACAATAGGTTGCAGAATTCAACCTCTGCAACCTATTAGCAGCAATCTTTCAAAGTTACTTGAACTATGCTTCAATAATTTATTTCCCCATAGTTGCACTGTGACTAAAAACCAGTTTTAATGGTATAATAAGTGTTCTTTTTCTCCTTTTTCTTATGCCTCTGTGGGATGTTCTAAACTTGCATGTGAAAACACTATCTGCTTGTGCATATTCAAGTATACAGAAAGAAGAAGTTTTTTGTTTTTTGTTTTTTTTTTAGCAATCACTTGTAGTTTTGAATGTTCCTCACCTGGAGTGGTTTGTCTGGATGCAAGAAATATGTGAAAAAACTCTGAGCTACAGTAAAACCTGTACAGAATACCCCCCCCACACACACACAGTGCATATTTTATTTCTCAGGCTTCAGTCTACCTAAAACAAACAAACAAAAACCAGAGGGGGTAGGGAGAAAATGGTAGATGAACAGTAGCAAAAAATGGACAGAAAGGCTAAATAGACATTTTTTCCAAAGAAGACATACATACAGACAATGGAAACATTAAATAATGCCCATCATCACTTATCTTCAGGAAAATGCAAGTGAAAACCACAATGAGATACCAGTTTACATCTATGAGAATGGCCAATATCAAAAAGATAAGACAATTTAATCTTTGGCAGTGGTATCTTCCTACACTGTTGGTGGGAAAGTCAACAGGCCCAGCCAAGTGGAAAACAAGGTGAAGTCTTCTTAAAATACTAAGACTAGATCTACCATGTGCTCTAACAACCACCCTCCCACAGGTATCTACCCCAAAAATAGAAATTTGAAGAACTATACACATGCCCACGATTACTGCAGCTCTATCGACAACAGTCAAACTATGTTACCAACCTAAGTCCATAAGGAGAGTGGGGTAGATTAGAAAAATGTGGTGCATATATACAATGAAATACTACTCAAGTAAAAAAAAAAAAAAATGATGAACTCCTGCCATTTGCAATGACAAGATGGGAACTGAAGAGAATAATGCAAAGCAAAACAGGTCAGATGGAGAAAGGCAAAATACTGGTCGACTTTAATTACATATAGGATATAGATAAAATCAAATCTGTAACAAACCCTAGACAACTGACTGCAGAATTGAGACTCAAGAGGGAAAGGGGGACATGTGATAGGGAGGGGCACAAAGTGCTGGGATGGACTGTTGGTGCCTTGTCTGCGGTGTGCTATGAGAATACACGTGTAAGGTGCTCTATGAGTCCTAGGGTGGAGCCTCATATCACAGCACTCATCTTTTTTTATATATAATAGTTTATTTTTACATCATTTTGTGCATTTTTTCATCTCAGTCGTAATCCCCACAGGCTTCCCATCACCAAATCACCCTGACAGCACTCATCCTTTTATAAGAGAACTAATTATTTCCCACTTTCTCCCTCTATTTCTTTTTCTGCAGCATGAGGAGTTACACTAATAACATGTAGAAAAGTATTGAAAATAAATTTTCTAAGATTTTCAGATTTTTTCTAATGAAGACTAGAGATATTAGTTATCTTTAGACTTCATTAATCATGCACTTAAAACATTTTGAGGGTAATAATAAAAACATGGTCTTTAGCACACATTAAACAGCAGAGAGAAAACTGAATTTAAAAATCTCAATTCCTGGAAAAGAATTCATGAAAATATTTTTAAAAGATGGCAGGAACAACAGAAAGCAGAAAGATGAAGATGGCATCCAAACATATCGTGATCACGATAAATGTAATGAAGTAACATAGTTATTTGCAGTTTATAAACAGGCATAAATTAAAAGACTCAGAACCTGATGATAATGATGACAATAAATGAGGAAAATGATAGCTATTTTAATATCGGACAAAATAAATATGACTCAGGTCTCAGGTGAGACTGGACTTGCAATGCAACCTGCCCAGAAAACATCAGTAATGCTTATTTTATCATATAGAAAAATTCTAATTCAAAAATTTTAATGAATAAAGTTAAGCTTTGT